TTAATATTTTTGTGTAAACCGTTATATATTTGTTTTTAAAAATTTGTGGTCAAGTAGATTCTTTAAAAGAAAGTAGAAACCTTAATTTTACTTATTATATCTATTATATACTTATTATATCTATTATTATATCTATTTATCTATTATACACACACACGCACACACACACACACACACACACTCTACATTAGGTGTAATAAATAGAGATACAATCTACTAAATTAAATATGTTCCACATACTTTTTAAGTGTGTAGTCTTTGAGTTAAATAAAAGAAAGGAAAAAGGCTGAGACCAGCCAAATCATGCTCCCATGTTTATTTTCTATGTTGTTGTTTCCTCCAAAATTGCATTTCCCTGAACAACATAAACTGCTCTCTAACTGGCTGTTAGACCAGTGTGTGTGCATTTAATATGCTGTGGACCGAGAACCGAATTTCAAGAATTGCTGTTGCATTACATATGGCTCATAATGTTGCCACGACAACCCATCTGCTTCTATTAAACACATATTTCCCTCTATCATATTTCATATCTCAACTCATTATATATGTATATATATATATATATATATATATATATATATATATATATATATATATATATATATATATATATAATAAACTAAATCTACAGTACATATGTATTCATGTGTTTTACATGTGACTTCGCCCCTACCTTCCCTTCATCCGATTCCATTTCTAGGCTGTTTTGAGTGTCAGGTTTATTTTTAATGATCCAGTGCTCTCTCACTGAAAAGCATTTTCTATATTTAATAAATAGCACACTGCTAGCAACAACACTGACAGATGGGACACGGGCTGACAAGATTTGCAGACATTACATGTTGTAGCATGTGTTTCTATTTCTAAGGCACGGCCTCCACGTTAACCAGGCCCGTGTTACCTAATTCCAATCTCTTGACAAAACTTGATGATAATAATGTTTGGTCAAGCATTTAACTAATAAATACATTTTAGATTTTTTTTAAATATATAATATATGTATATAAAATTTCCAAATTAATTGTTGGGCAGGACTTGATTATAATTGGAGATGGATTTGGTGATTTAAAAGTGGGCGTTACTTAATGTCAATGATAAATCAATTGTTCCATTTTGATCAATTGATTTTTGATTTCACATTTAACTATAGTTTTAAATTAGAATAAATAAATGTCAAGTATTATGCCATCCTACTTTGCCTGTTCTCATCGCCCTCTAGTCAACAGAGGGAGCTGCAAAGGCTTGCATTTCATTTAAGCTGTTCAGAACTTTTCAAGGGTACAATGCAGTCAGGATGAGTTATTGCTGAGAGGAACCACAAACCCTCTCTCTCTTTCTCGATCGCTAATGGAGGAGCAAAGGAGAACAGCACAGGGGCATGTCTAACTGGCTACAGCAGACTCAGTTAACTGGAGGTCAGGAGGCTTTACTCTCACCGTCCACTTCAAAAATGACTGTTGTCACACTACACTCAAACACACCAATCAACATCCATCTACTTTGAGCAAGTTTTGCAGATCACTTGTAAGCATTGCTGATTGAAAAAAGTGCTGATGGCTACTTTTTACAGAACCACCTTAAAGGGATAGTTCACCCTAAAATGAAAAGTAAGTAATCCTTTACTCAGCCTGGCGTTGTTCCAATGCCCTATGTCCTTCTTTATTTTTCGGACCACAAAAGGATACATTTAGAAAAATGTCCTGCACACGTTCCTCCATCTAATGGTGATGAATGGCAACCAGGCTCAAACTTTACAAAAAGGACACAAAAGTATCACGGAAGGATACAATGAGACGTGCGCCATATATAAAAAGTGTTCAGGAGCCATATATAGGGTTTTGCGAGAAAGAAACCGCATTAAGTCAAAATACCGAGCTTGGCCGTTACTTTGTGCGTGTGAGCCGACAGCGGCCTCTCACACATACGATAACTCGCATTGCTGTCATGACAACCGGAATAATCATCTCACAGAACACAACATAGTTATACCAAAGTCCCTTTAAGACAAGTCATTTCAATCGGCGGCCATCTTTGAAACGCCTTGCTGGCATGCAACTGTAGCTCCTATCTCTTTGAATAGAGAAACATCAAATTCAAAATCCAATGAAATCTGACAACAACTGTCTCATAAATTCTGTTTCTAAACGCTCGTATCATGACAAAAAACTGCATTTTTCATGCTGGACGAAGCTAATGCGCATGCACCGTCCTAAGCGGGTGTCTCAGAACACTATAGGAACCGGAGCTTCTAACGGCAGCTGCAGTGATGCAATGACTTTACCAATCAGCGATTGGGTCTTTTCTTTTTTGGGACTTATTCCATCATATTGCGTGTTGCACTTTCTCCCATTCATAGTAATAAGAGTGCATCGTCTTTCTGTATATAAAGTCATTGGTTATACACAATGTAATGTCTGACTGTAGCTTCTGTCTGTACCACTGCCTCAGTCTCTTCCACCTCTCTAAGCTTGATTTCAGAGTACTCTGGTTCATACAGATACGGCTGAGCCAGGCCCGGTTCCAGAATCAAATCACAAAGGGGGCTCTAGTAAAGTGCAAATTTAGGCTAACCAACGAGTCCACCAGCAGTGTACAGTGAAACATTTAAGATTATTTACAAGTCATCACTTTTACCAAACAGCTAGACTCAGTCTAGACTGATTGGCAGAGAATAATCAGGAAGTCGTTCGAAGCAGACTCAATGAGCGTTTCCTGGCGGGTCATCGACACTCCCCCTTCACAATGTTTCTCCCCGATCTCCATGGTGAGGCATTGAGATTGTGGAGGAAACCCTATTTGGCTTGCGTGGTAACCTCCACTGCCTCAAATTATTCGAATGTGAAGGGACTGCATGAACATATGAAAAGATGCCCCGGGTTGAAGAGGCCCTCGCGAGCTCTCTCTCCCCTGGTGCATCGTCTTCCCTGAGGGCTCCGGTCCTGCCCTCTTAGCCGTTCCAGATGTAATCTAGGCTGGTGGGCAAGGCCTACATGGCAGCAGGTCAGGCTGGTGGAGCCCTATTTACTAGTTTCAGGAGTATATATATAGGCTATAATCTGTGTTTACACAGCTTTTTTGAAAATGGCGGGTGCTGGTGTTTCGCGTGCGTTCGGCCAATCAGCGCACATTAACGTCACTGGTAGGACCTATAGTGCTGGTTTAGACCCGACTCTGAAGTAGGAGCTAAATTAGTTTCTCCGAAAGGTTCCTAGTTCCTGGGGTGCGATTACGCCAAAAAATACGCCAATAATTCTAGGAACTATGAAAAGGTTCCTCCGGTGCGAAAGCCCCTTATGGTTCTACTATGGTTGCCACAGAGAGGCATCTGTGGTTGAACCTCTCAAGGTTAAAGGAGAAATCCTTCCTCCTTGATGCCCCAGTCTCGGCCTCTGGCCCTTGGGCAATGCTGTAGACACGGTAGTTGAGAGGTTCAGAGAGGCGAAGGTTCAATCTGCGGTGTTCAAATGCTACATCCCTTTTCGAGCCCAGGCTCCTTCAGCCCCCCAAACCCCTTCTGACTCTGGACCCAGCTCGAGTGCTTGGAGGAGAAAATCTAGGAGGGATCTTAGGGATATCATTATGGCCCGCTGGTCTGAAGACCTGTGCCCGGTTGCATAAAGCACCTTAAGTTTTTCCCTTAAGTATGATACTTAAGGGGCGATTTACCCTTACCTAAGAGAATAACTTAAGGGTGTTGCATATAATCTCTTAAACGGTTCTCTTAGGTAAGGGAAACATTTAAGTGTTTCATGACAGCGATCCTGGATTCACGTTATAAAAGTCTGTTGTTGCCATAGATACGCAAAACACTAACATGTCGGAATATCACGTGTCAGTCCAGTGACGCTAGCTCCGAAAGTGGCGGCAGTTTGTGTTGTTCACCGTCTCATGCTTTGGCATTTGTTTAGGTTTTGTGAATGCACTTCTGGCTCTGTGTCTCGAAATACAGCTGAGTATATTTCCATAGCATACCTGTTTTCTTCTGTCATGATTCCTTTTAAAACACAGAATCAGCTCTTTCTCCTGTGAATTTTTTTTCTGCACGGGTCGGCCACACACTCTCCGTGCGCGCACTGACTTAACGTTGTGATAGTTTACATGCGAGTCGCGTGTAATGACAGACAGACAGCCGTCTAGTTTGATAGCGATGTCAAATATTGCGCGTCGATCAAATCGGTATTCTTGCAACAATTTTTCATAGCTAAATTAGTCCAAAGGGTTCTCCCTATTCCCTATGATCTTCAGCTGGTTCCATAAATTCAGCCATGTCGTCTTATTTTTGTCCGCGTTACTCTTAAGGTTACGATTTCCAAACCTTAAGTTATACTTAGGGAAATTACCGTTAAGGGGTTTTATGCAACACTTAATGATTACTTAAGTGAAAAAACAGCATTTAAGGGAAATTCTAAGTGTTTATGACGTTTCACTTAAAAAAACCCGTTAAGTAACACTTAAGGGTATTTTTCTGCAACACCCTTAGGTTTAAGGGAAACATAAGGGCGACCTTAAGGGAAAATTACACTTAAGGTGCTTTATGCAACCGGGCACAGAACCTGTAGGGCCCCTTTTAGGTTTCCTGCACCCCTCAAAAAATACAGTAAAAACAGTTATATTGTGAACTAAAACAATTTTTTTATGTAAAAAGTTTTATGTTTTAATATTTATTATGTAATTTAATTTCATGTAATTCATTCCGGTGTAGGATTTTTTAAAAAGGTACTTTGATAAGTAAAATACAGTTTTATTAAAATTATTAAAGTCTTTACTGTCACTTTTTATCAATTTAATGCATCCTTGCTGAATAACAGTAAGGATAAATTAATTTATTTCAATACAAATCTTCAAAAAAAAAATCGTACTAAAAAAAACACTTTTAAAGCGTACATACTGTTTAAGACATTAAACTACTAGTACTAGAATAATACAGCTGTCATTTTTGGGGGCCAGGGGTTTGAAGATTTTCATGGTGTGTGCTGTTTGTCTTGTCTGTGATTTACCTGTAGGAATGCAGCAATGCTGGGTTTGGCAGTTTCATTCGGAGATAGCAGGCCACAATCCTGGACTCAATGAAGCTGGCAACTTTACAAATTTCTTCATAATCAGCATTTAAATGTTTCTCAAACACAGCACCTTTGGAACACAGCTGGGAGAGATAAAGGAGTGATAAATTAATTGAGAAATATAACTGAATAAATAAAACCTTGCTTTCCACAGGTAGTTTTTTTTTTCAAAGTGATTTTTTTTTTACAGATTGTATCTGAGAGTAGTGCTACAGGTTATAATGCTTCTAATAAGATAGTTGATCAATTTTCGAATTAAATGTAGGCCTAATAAATATTTTTTCATGAAAGAGATTCTGTCACTGTCACATTTCAAGAATCTTGATGCACTTCTGTGACCTGAATCATTCATTTAAACATGAATGCGATGCACAAAGCCAAATACAAAGAATTTTACCTTGAACACTGATTTTTTTTTTAAGTACTGTCAGCTCAACAATAAACATACAGCTTAATTAAAAGCAAAAAATTCTATTTACTTTCCCACTTTACAACAAAGCATGTATAAATATTCTCCTGATGGCCTTAACCTCATTTAACCTCATGTATTTTGGGACGACAAATCGCATTAATCTCAGTGGAGAGAAATTAAAAAAGAAAGAACACCTGTGACATTTAAGACTCTGCAGATCCACATAAACGCATTAAGAGTCTGATAATGTGGGATTCATCCAGGTAACAGCAATAGCAGGTCCGAATTATTATTTAAATAGCCTTTGAGCTCCAACAGTTGTAAACAATAATTAAAGCTCTGCTCTGTGCCTCATAATAATATCTTCAATAACCTTTTGTTAAGGTGACATAGAGAGCAGCCGAGTCAGACGTCATTTAATTAATTTATTTAATTGTGCATCTGTATTTCCCATATTTTTTACATTTAGATTAGACCTACCTTTGCTGCCATCTAACACTTAATTAAATCCTTTAATTAACTGATAACGCTATTAAATTTGAATATTGTACTTCCCTGGTCTATTCAACAAGGCTAAAACTACAGCGAGAGTACAATGCTATCAGATGGGAATGTTACAGGACTTTGATAAATAGCATGGTACTGAATCACAGTTATTTCTATTGTTCAGGCTTAGTTTTTAGGCATTTGAACAAGCATCAGATATTAAATGAATGCATTAATCATCCTGCCTTATATATGCCCTTTGATTGATACCTCAAATTGTGTTTTTGTTGAAACTAGGAGTGCTATCACTTTTTTAAACAATCTTAAGATTATGCTAGCAATCAACCCGGACATCCAAGCAGATCCATTCAGCAAACAAGACTTCCAAACACCTTTGGATCCCCATAATACAGTTCATGTGCATTTTCCAGAAATTTCAGTGCGTTAAATGAACATATAAAGGCCTGTAGGTCGGGAAGCCTGTGGTAAAATTTAAATATCGAGTACCTCTAGTGCAGCAGTGAAACGGCTGGCTGCAGTGGCATAATTCTTCAGTTGGTAGTACGAGTTGGCGTCCTGTAAAGCTACATCGAGCCATTTGTCAATTTGAGGCAGAAAGCTGAGATTAGGTCCACTCGGAGGCCCTCCTATTTCAGCCGCTTGACACATTAATTGTGTGGCGGTGCAGGCCAGGGACTTGTGGGTAATGTCCTGTTCGTCACCGAACACTAACTTTGTCTCAGCCTCCATCAGGTCTCTTAGAGGAATGCGAGGGGGTGCGGAAAGGGGGCTTCGTTTATTATTTGCCTCCGCACAGTCGTCCAGCGATCCATCTTTTCTTCTGGTGTCATTCTTCTTGCTCCTCTTTGGGGCACTGCTGTCTGTCCTTTTCTCTTTTCTCTTGTTTTGTCCCTTTTCCTCAGGCTGCTTTGACCGGATGGTAGCAGACGTTGGGTGTTCTGTGTTCTCGGGGAAAACCGTCTGCTGTGGTCCCTGGAGCCCTGGGCTTCCAGTTGAATTTGCCATGATGTGCCTGAAAGAGATTTAAAATTAATGCTATGCTTTTCATGGCTCAGAGCAGTCAAAGAAGCAATCACAGAAAAATTTGGAAATAAGGGACACCTGAGACGCAGGACATCCCATTCATATGGGTTACGCCCCATGAATTCAAACAGCCCAGGAAATTTGCGTTTTACATCCCAATGAAGGCCTGCTCTCCGCATACAAATAGAGTTCAGACAAGTTCTCAATTCTCCAAGCGGGCTGAAACTTTAATACATTCGCTGCTATTATTCTTCTGCAAGAGCGCTGCTGTTAGTGTACTGTTAGAGAAGTCACTTAAATAATGTAGAGGGCCGGGGTGCTGATTCACTGCCGCTCTTGAGATGTGCTTAGGAAAAGGTCACTGTGACATATACACCTGTTGGCAATAGGCCGAGCTCCTGCTTTAAGAGTAGACTGCAAATTCTGCCATCTTTATGTACGTGTGTTACTACCGTGTGGGGAGAAAGAGAGTTTTTGGTACAATAGGCCAAAAATAATTTAAGAGATGTGGGCACTAGATAAGGATCCACTGTAGTGCCCACTAGATGGCAATACATAAGTTTATATATGAAATCATTTTTAAACATAGTAACTATTGATGCACCCTGTATATGTGATGCCTTGACTGGAGGAAATAAAGATGACTTCAACTACAGTATCTCAGCATAAAGTAATATATTTCTGTTAAATAATCTTTGATTATGCCAAGTTGCACTTACCTCCTAGTTTTCATAGCGAAATGTGTCCTTTTGAATGCTTGAAGAATAACATTCTAACGCTGACATCACCACACAACCTATGGAACTGTGTTGTCCAATCAGATTAGAGCATCGGGACTGACCGTTATAGAGTGCAACAGTGCCCGCCCACTTTCGTTTTTAGCTGCTTTGGTTTTGAAAGTATTTTTCCCATCGGGATTTTGTGTGTTTTGTTAATGAGTTTATTAAGCCATGAATCAAACCTACCAGCTATGAGGTGAATAACACATCACACTCTTTGATTTGAAGCAAAAAAATAAATAAAAATTGGACAAAAAGACAAAGGTAGGTAGGCTACAAGACTGTGTGCTTATAACGGCTTCACGAGGGAAAGAACTACGATCCCCTGAAGCCAATGACATATCGAAATTAAAATGATGGATAAATATAAATCTATTGATTTAAACATGCTGAGTATGTAGAAACAATATAAACATGCTGCGTATGTATGGAAACAATTTATTTTATGTTTAGCCTATTACAAAAGATGCAAACATTTGATACACACAAATATTTTAATATTACATATAAAAAAGTTATTTTTTAATTGAACAAAAAAATTGAGTAGCCTACATACATTTATGGCATAATTTATTTTGCAAATAGCTTCAGTTCCTTCTTCCATTGAAATAGGGCTTAACCTGCATCTATTAATAAAGTGTTTACCTAATAGAGTCAGGTTATTTATCAAAAGGTTCTTCCTTAAATACTTCTCCAACTTCAATCAATCAATCAATCAATCAATCAATCAATCAATCAATCAATCAGTCATAACTTATATTTATGAACAAATATCGAAGTAGTTTGAGAGTATAGACTCGGTTACATTATTCACAGTGCTTCGTGGGAGTGGGTGGACACTAGTTCTTTTGATTTGTTTGTTCCATTTTCTGATTGGTGGAGTAGTATTATTATTATTTTTTTAGAAGAATCGTGAGTAAAGTTGTTTTCTACCAGGAATTTCACTAGTAAACATAAATTAATGTCAATTTATATTTATATGGGCTGATGTCAAATATCATCAATTAACAACCTTGTACATCACAGTTGGGCTGTTTTTTTTTAATCATTCAAAATCACTTCCTGTGGAGAAAATGAATGGAATTTTTACATCCAGAACCCCACTGTTGCTCTCTATAACTCATGATAAATTCTGTGCTTTGATTGGTTGAAATAATTAGCCAAAGCCACAGTCAGATATGTGTAGTTTCAACATTTGAATCAGTTCTTGCCCAAAAATTGATGTCCGCACTGTTTAAAATTAAGCTTGTTATTATGAAGATGGTTGTCAACTTCAGGCATTTCTCATTACTGATCATAGTGATCGTAGCATTTCTCTACGATCACTGACAGCTTGTCGACAGATGCGGACTGTCTCAAAGGACAGTTGCTTAAAACGTTGCGTACATTAATTTATATTAAAATGTCTAATATATATTACATGTACAGTAGCCTATACTAGACTAATATATTGACATATTTAGGGCCTAATAATTTGCTAGCTCCAGTAGGGCTGTCTTTACAGTTAATTTCTCTCAGCTACAAAAATATGTCTCTGTTTATAGTTTAATGTGATGTCAAAAGTACAGGTGGTACCAGGTTGAAACTAAACAATGATAGTCTTACAGCAGTACCCGTTTTACAGACTCATTTCGTCTCTTGTGCGCTGTCTGATTGATTTCAAATGCTCATTTGTGAGCATTCTCTGTGAAGAAAAAACACACACTTTGCAGGGTTCTCAAGTTTTATCAAAAGCTTGGAGTGAGATCACATGCGGTTAGGGGAGGAGCCCTAATGGAGCCCCGCCCCCCAATTTTACCCATTGTTCATAATAACCAGCACAAACTGAACTTATAACAATTGGTAAATCTGATAAATGACAGAACAAATAATCACATAAAAAATATACTCTTTAATGTTATATTTCAAAATGACAAATATACAAAAATATAACAAATTGCTCCAAACAGTTTGGAAAAACAAATCTTTTTGCATTTTGAATGTGTCTAGTCGAAATGGTATAATGATTTATTGTGTGGTGAGACACTGAACAAATGTACATATTAGAGTATTAAGGTGTGTGTGTGTGTGTGTACACAAGAGTAGGCTACAAACTCCAGCTTATGAAATGTGTTTTGTGTTGTAAGTGTTTGTTGCACATTTTGATGCCTTGATAACAGGGGTAAGTTAGGGGGCTATTATAATATATAATTTAAAATAAAATGAAGAAATACATCTTCATTCCTTCCCATGCCCACTAACATTTCCCTTAGTTTCAGATAACGTAAGCTAGCCAAAACTGAGCCAAAGCTTCTGGCCTGGTTGCAAAGTAGTTGTAGAGTTTTTGACTGCATCAATAATAATGTACGGAAGCGTATTGCATTCACTTGAAGAAAAAAAATCTACTCTGTTTTTCTGAATTAATGAGTTAATTATCTCAGAATTACGAGATAATTTTTCATGGAAAAAAGTTTTTGCTCTGTTTTTCTGAATTAACGAGTTAACTATCTCAGAATTACAAGATAATTTCTTCATAGAATTTTTTTTTGCTCTGTTTTTCTGAATTAACAAGTTAATTATCTCAGAATTACGAGATAATTTTTCATGGAAAAAAAGTTTTTGCTCTGTTTTTCTCAATTTCTGAGGTTTTGAGATAATCAAGTTATTAATTCAGAAAAACAGAGCAAAAAAAAATATCCATGAAAAATTATCTTGTAATTCTGAGATAATTAACTCGTTAATTCAGAAAAACAGAGCAAAAACTTTTTTTCCATGAAAAATTATCTCGTAATTCTGAGATAATTAACTCATTAATTCAGAAAAATAGAGTAGATTTTTTTTCTTCAAGTGAATGCAATACGCTTCTGAAATAATGTATACGATGGGCTATATATTAAATGTTCTAGCCTAAAAATGTTAGACGATTTTTCTTCCATCTTACCTTCTCCATCACGAAGTGTGTTCGCGCGATGTTGTTGGTTACCTAGTAACGAACGTATACGGTGGCCGAAAATGTTCCGTCAACTTCTGTGTGTTCGCGCATCAATGTTGCAACGAACGCAATTTTACCGAGATACGTGCTGGTGGCAGGAAACTTCACTTTGTGTGCCTGCGCCTCGTATACAACGTTATATATAAAGCTTGCAGGACAACTTGGTTGGCATTGCCATGAGAATGCGTTGGAAACTTTGTTTACCAACTTTAATATTAGTTTACTTTACAAATAGTTACTGTTTGCCTGTCTTTTTTGAAGCAATTTTTACTCCTAAATACTTGAAGGCTACATGCATATTTTTTCAATTATTTAATTATAATTTTTTTATTTGATTTAATATTTAACTTTTTAATCGTTAAAATACTTAAAGTAAATGTGATATAGAGCATGTTAATTTTTGTACAGACTTTCAGCTGTTTGCAATGAACAAATCAAACAAAAGCAATTAAAATAGCTCTACACAACAAATGTTTCAAGTGGTTTCTCCAAATTTAACTGAAAATTCAACTTTTAATGACTTCTGCAGTCTCAAAATTATTCAACCCCCTGAATAGAACCCCTCACAACAGCACAAATCTGCAAAACAGGTGTTGTCTCAAGCACACCTGATGCAACTAATCAATGGCTTCATTAGTTGCACCAGGTGTGTTTGAGCTAGAACACATAATATCAGAACTGGCTAGGTTTGTTGAGAGCCATATTTCTAACATGCAGTCAAATGTGACAAAGTCAAAAGAAAGTGGTCCAAAAAGTTAAGAAAAGATATCATCACCCTTCACAAACACGGAACAGTATACAAAAATAAGCAAAAACACTAAATGTTCCTAGACACACCGTTGGAAGTATAGTTTGCGAGTTCAAAGTTAAAGGAACAGTGGTTACACTACCTACGGGGCTGAAAAAGGAATCTGTCAATGGCTGCAACCAGATTTATGAGAAGACAGGCCCACTATAGACCCCAAAACACAAGAAAACTGCTCAAAATCATATTAATAAACCACAGAAATTTTGGGATTCTGTTCTGTGGAGCGATGAAACAAAACAGAACTTTTCGGTCCTATGGATCAGCGGTATGTCTGGAGAAAGAATGAAGCATATGCTGAAAAGAACACTCTGCCTACAGTTAGGCATGGTGGTGCTCGGTGATTCTCTGGGGCTGCTTTGCATCCTCTGGCACTGGAAACCTGCAGCGTGTGGAAGGTAAGATGGATTCATTGAAGTATCAGGAAATA